CAAGCCCCCCCCCCCCGACGCTTTGAGACTACTGCCAACGGTTGTGTGAACATATCAGTTACCTGCAGGGTTTTATCGTTCTGGTGCTGTGCCATGCATCCGAGCACGAGCTTCAGCCCTCCCTCGTGAAGCAGTCTCGTCTTGAGATCATCGTTCGCCGATATGTTTCGGAACAGCGACAGAGCCGTGCGGCACACCACCGCCTCCTGCGGAAAGGCCACGACAGCCCCGCTCACGATGTCTAGCCCCCCGTTTCCCACTATCTGTGGGGGAGGGGTCGCGCGTGGGAGCAGGCGTGATCAAAAGCCGAGACGAATAGGCGGGGAACATGAGATGACAAGGAGACTAAAGCTGCAACACTCTTTCAATGAAGGTGCTTTGTGCGAAGAATGTATTTGGTCTGGTCCTTTGTTTTTTCGGGCAGTATGGTGTGCAAGGAACGCAACAGCGTCCGGCGATATGCTCACCGTGAGCCAACACCATTACCACCACCACCATCAACATCAACATCAACATCAACGCACGATCAACATCACCATAATCACCAATGAAAACAACAACCAACAACAACCAACAACCAAACAGCAACCAACAGCAACAAGGGTATGGCTCACCAGCTTGACGCTCTCGTCATTGGCCGCGAGCTGTTTGAGGGCCAGGAACACGGGGGACAGCGTGGTCGGGTCCTCCTCGGAAGCTCTCGCGGCCTCCAGCAGGAGCGGTATGGCTCCAGCGGACACGAGAGCCTTGACGTTGTCGTAGGTGCCTGGAAGAAATGGTGCACATGATGGATAGGATCTTAGGAGGCAAATCGAATATAGCTAAGCTGGTCTAGGCATGAGAAAACAGCGACGACAAGAACTCGGTCGTCGGTGCACATGATGGTGCACGATGCTGGTTCTTTCTTTCGAAACGGTTTCAAACACCAGCCGGACGACATATATTGTACCTCCTGCGCACAAAAAAAACAACTCTTCCGAAAGGCGTTTCTATCAGTGCCACGGTATCTAGCGAGGGAAGTTGCCTGAGAGACGGTAGTTCCCTTGCCGGTGCACAGCCAAAAAATACCGCCACGAGTAATAACTGGGTGAAAGCAAACGCTGTGAAACGAAATCACGCTTGTACATACTGATATGCAAAGGGCTAGTACGCGAACAGACCAGCAAGCAAGCGAAGGTTTGTTGGAGCTGATCGGTCAATGTCGCTGGAGGCCCACGTACTGCCAAACATCCGAGACTCAGCGGATGGCATCGAGGAAGCTGAATTGAGGCGTGAAGAAGCAAACGCATCAGCCGAGGCGAAATAATCAAAACGCGTTACTCTAATTTCACCACCGCAGCGCACCGCTTCTTGACAACCTAGGCCCGCTGCAGAACGTACCTGAAAAGTCTTTCCGTCGGTCGTCTCCCAAGGTAACCGATCGCAGCGCCGCACACGCCTCCCTGGTGACGGTGGCGTCCCTGCCCTCCCCGGTACCGTAGTGCCTCAAGGTTTCCACGAGAACGTCGGCCCCTTTACGCCTCATGAAGGAGCCTGTGCGCGCGGCAGCGGCAAGGGAAGGATAGAAACCGACAGGAGATGGTATCCCGGTCTTGACTATTGTCGTGTACAGAGGGGGGCGTCTCTGGCGGTGCTTACAGAGTCAGGTGGTCAAGAGCAAAGCTTCCCCGGGCTGAGGACTACTGTAGACACACACATCGACAAATGGACCGGTGGTCCAGACCGCACCAAACACTGGCGGCGACGATCGGGATGGCAGTCGGATGCGTTGCATGACACGCAGCGATAGTTCTTCAAAGGGGTGAGCAAGTGGAGAGCTTACGTCTTTGTTGGAGCTGAACCGCAAGTACCACGAGAGGTTTACCAACTTCCAATCATCTAAGACCCAGCAGATGGCATCGAGGAAGCTGAGTCAAGCCGTGGAGCACCAGTCGAGGCGGAAGAATCAAAACATATCATTCAGATTTCACCGTCGCGGCGTACCGCTGTATGACAACCCAGGCCCGGGAACACATGCTGTCCTACCAAACACCGAACACCCAAAAAGTATGCACTGGTTCGTGTCCCTCTGTTCTCATGGCTCTCACCCTTGTTGTTCTCCGCCTTGGTGCAAACGATCCTCACGGTCTTCAGCCCGGCCGCCACAAGCAACGCCTTGTCTTGGTCTTTGTCTTTGTCTATCGATTCCGCATCTCCGGAGATGGGCTCAGGCTCGACGGTTCCCTCCACGTTGGCGTCGCTATCGCCTACGGCGCCATCGCCTGGGCCGTTCGTGCTACGGCTGCCGGTGTGTGGTGCTGGCGTGTTCGTCCACCGCACAAGTAGTGATGTCAGCTGGAGTACAGCAATGCAACAGCCGTAGAGGTTGACGGAATGCCATCAGACGAGGCAACGAGGGTATTGCGGAGCCATCTTTACCTTCGGCTACCTATGTCTCCCTCACCTTCTCCGTCGTTCAACATGTCAACAAGGGTTCTAATTGTCCTGTGTCCCGTTCCCTCCCTATTTCTCTCTGATACTGCTCGTGTTCTCCATCTATAGAAGCCTCCCGATGCCTTGGGTTCTACTCGTGGCACATGGCCAGCTCGATGCCTTTACCCCCATGGCCACGTGTAACGAAGCTTCAGACCGTAACCACAACGGCAACCATCCACTACCTAAACAAGTGCGCCCACCTGGTCCATGTTCGTGTAGATGAACGCGTCGCGATTTCTCTCCGAGTTTCGGCACACATCTTGCAGCGTGTTAAGGGCAGCGAGGACCACGCTGCTCGGGGGCGATTCGTCCGCGTACCCTCCCAAAAAACGGGCAATCGCCCCGACTCCGCCGGCCTGTCGTCCCCGCCGAGGAAAACGAAAATCGGCCCGCACATATACGAGACCAAAAAAGAGCCAACGATGAAAGAGGCAGTGACTATTCAGTGCCTTGCAGGGCGTCGAGGAGGGCATTCTCGCAGCCCCTCCGAAGCTGAGGAAAAGTGCCACGGTTTTTCGTGGCTTCAAACAGGAGAGCCGGAATACTGCAATGCCGAATCAAACGGTCTTCCGCACTGAACGATAACCCCGTGCCGTGGCCAACATCACACGCTCTACCTTCGACGCTGCGAACATAAAAACGCGGATAAATGATCGAAACGCTCGCGACTGCCGTACAAGCATGACAAAACTCGTTTGGCTGGGACGAGAGCGTAAGACAGAAGCTCAGCCTTGACCCTCACAGCTCCAACACCAAAGGCTCGCCACCAAAACGCAGCTATCTTTTTCCCCATATCCTCGCTCACCTCTCCCACTGCCGTCCTGTTGGACTCCCCCGCGGCCCCTTCTTCCCGGCACATGTTGCCTACCGAAGACAACGCCTCCAGGCAGCCGCTCTTAGGAACCCCCTCCCCCTTCCCCCTGTCGTTCAAGTCAAACCCACGCAGCCTATACACGTGGTCTTTGATGGCGGCCCTTGCGTCCTTACGGACACCGTCGGCTGACGTGTCGACGTTGGATAGATCAGCTCCTGTAGCGTCAAGGAGAGGGAGAAAGACAACACCAGAACGGCGGTCTTAGCGCAGAAATTCCAGAGAGGACGTGTCGGGTCTCAAAACCAGCAGTGTGGCGTCAATACCTGTATGCCGACGCGAGTAGTGTCTCGTCAAAGCATTATTAATGGTCACGTGGCAGCACCGCGTCGTCTATGTAGCTCAGCACATTTTTCCTGGCGAGCCCCGTTGACCGGGGAACACCAATTTCAAATTCCCCTTACAAGCGGCCCAAAGAGCTGCACGCGATTCCTACAACGGCCGAGGCTGCAGCAGTCCCTTCGATAGCTACAGAAGGCGTGTTTCGGCCCTGTTCGAAGCACAGAAACCGACAACGGGGGCACTGCGAATCAGAACCGCACATGACGCTGACAGCAGTAGATACCTCCCTCGGCACCCAACCGTTCCAGCAACCAGTCGACTCTTTACATTGCAGCTGTTCAGTTCAGCGGAACTCTGCGGATCGTGCGGACAGCACACAGAAGGAGCACATAGTAGAAGATCTGCAGTCTTTCGCCCCTGTTGGGTTGCCCTGCTCTGCGGTCGGCACCCACCCGCTTGATTGTTAGAACGACTCCCGACCTACTGCTGTTGTACCCAAGGGGGCATTGAGAATTGATATGCGAGTGCAGCTCCTCTACTACTGTAGTCTACAACTATCTGGACAGACGCGGAGATGTTGTAGCTTGCAGGTCAGCTTTGCCCCACCAAGACGGTCTATCATCCACGCCGGCAAACCCACCCGACGCGGCGTGCTTTCAAATTAAAAAAAACTGTGTGCGATCACCGGCTGGATACACGCCCATATCGGCAGACTCGACTGAACGACGGCAGCAACTCGCAAGCCTAATTTTTTTTCCCAATGTAGAGGTCACTGGGCACCGACTTCGCTCGTCATATAACCAGCTATGCACCAAACACAGTCGCATATCCAGCGCCACGCTGTTGAACGAGATCCCACACGGTATGTGTAGAGGTGTCGAACCTTGAGCGTTGAACTGGGCCACTGCATCCCTCGCCGCACTCTCTCTGTCCATATCGAAATCCTCCATGTTCTCCTTGACAACTTCGTCGAAGGTCTCTTGCGTGATAAACTTGGCCATTTTGTCTATGGGCTTCCTAGCACGAGCCAGTTGCGGAGGCTCGTGGTAGGTTTTGCTGTTGCCGTCGCAACCCGCCGTAGGCGGGGGGGCCGCAGAATGAATCGAGTGGTGTCGCCGCCAGCTGTGCACGTGCGTTCCACCCCCCCGACGGTATGTTCAACTCTCTGTCCTCCGAAAACAACACTCCTCCATACTTGTGTTCACAACGGCTCTTCTTTTCGATCCCCTTCCCACCCGTTCTCACCCGTGCGCACCATACCCACAACGACGGCGCTTGAGATGGCGAGTTCTTGACGCTGACTGTCGTTCAGATTTGCCTCTGCGCACATCATTCCCAACCCAAGGATTTTTCTCCCGACGCTGCATCGCCCGAAGAATTTACGCACCGTGGAGTGCAAAGAGCCGTTGGACGCCTTCAAGCGGTGGGGCGGTATGCACAGCAGCGAGGAGGCACGACCATGTCAATCCAGCGAGCCCGGTAATGCATAAGCGAAGGGGTTGTCCCTTGGGGCCAGCACTTACGACTGCAATAAATAAATCCAAATAGGGATAAACCGTGTTTGCCAAACAAGGTCACCGTTCTGACGTGGGTTGTTTTTGCGGCAGGCTGCAAAGGTAAAAACAATTAATCTTTACGGGGCATAACTCCTCCTGCGAGCTGACCGTCGTGTGGGGATGGACCACAGCTGTTCGTCGCATGTGCTTCTTGGGCCACTACTGACTCGTACTTACCCGTTCGTTTCCGCTGGGGGGTGAAAGACTGGGGACGCCCGGCGAAACTGTTACGGGATTTGAACAAATGCTTCGCCGCATATTTCATGTCGTTGGCCACTTGTACTACTGTAAGCACAATCCTAATTACACAAGTACTTCCAAGTTTTGAAGTATTGTCTTGCCATCAGACAGAAGGTAGTTCAACCAAAAGATGGGTCAAAAGCGTGTGCTTGTAACCATCTCCGATACCGCTTGTGACATAACTTTTGAATAATTTGTTCCCTGCATCTCGGTACCAGTCTAGACTAAGTACGATCGACGGGTCAAAAGCGTGGGCTTGTAACCATCTCCCATACCGCTCATGACATAAATTATTCCCAGCATCGGTACCAGTCTAGAGTATGAAAGTATGATCAAGAACATTACACGACGGCTAGTCTGACGGCGGCTCACTACTGGTATATGTACATATTCTGACATGTTTCGGGACACGTTCGTTACCTATCCCACAGGTCCGGTCACCCCCTTCTCTTCCATTGCCATGCCGTACGAGGCTAGACTTGTTCGCTCCACATTCGTTTTTCTGGTGCTATCAAGTTCCTTGGGTATCGTGTGGGGAGAATACCCGGACTACCCCATGACCTTCGCCGACATGAAGGTTTTGGCGGGGTACTACACAGAAGACGGGAAATACTTGGGAGGCATTCCTAAGGCGGACCCTGTAAGCAAAGAGATCTACGAATGTGCAGCCGATACATATTTCTATCCGTCCGGGAACGACACCGTCACCGACTCTGCCGACGGTACGGGCGAGGCTACTGCTTGCTTGGAGTGGAGGGCGGACGAGTCCGCCGGGGGTATCTTCCAGAAGGGCACATGCGAATGCACGTCTATCGACAACGAAAGCTACTGCTCCGCTTGGACCTGCAACCAGGTTAAACAAGAGGAGGAGTGCAACTCCTCCGGAAGCAACTGTGTCGTGTCCACCAACACCGATGCCGTCCTATGCCAGTGCGACCTCGATGTTCCCTCTGGCTTGTATTGTGACTCGTGGTCGTGCAAGCAAATAGACTCTGACGGCAGGGAGGAATTCGAAGAGTACCATTGCCAGCGTGAAGCCGAGTCGGGACACTACTGCGAGGCTTGGAACGGAAACGTGACCGCTACCGATGAAGTCGAGGTGGTGACGTGCGAGTGCGTGGCTACTTGGAACGGTGATCGCCTGTGGTGAGTAGAGTGTAATCGGTTGATGTATTGTTTCCCTTGTGGGTACAATGAACATATTGTATAGCATGTTGGCCTCCGTTGCGTCCCAGCAATGCTTACGGCGGGACCTGTGCAAATGTGAATGAGGAGCTCAGAGTAACCACCCAGTCTCTACATAATGTTATTTTAGCGTCGCTATGCTGCATGCCATGGTGAAGGAGCACTGGACTAGCCTTTTGACCGCTCCGGGTATGCTGCAGGATATTCAGAGTGCTGATTGGCATGATGTTGGGCGTTGTGCGGTTGCAAGAGACTTCCTGGTGGAGTGACTGGAACTCTAGTGGTACAATGTCGTGTCCGTCATTCCCAAAATATCTGCCGCCTCAACTGTCGCTTTTCTTCGAAACAGCTGGTTTTACTTAGCGCCATCATCCCACCTCCCTCCCCCGCCCGTCTCTCGCATTCCCGCCAGTTCCTACTGGGAGTGCGAAGAGATAGGTCTGAGTAGTTGCAATTCGACAAAGGGCTGGTGCGACTTGGGCTTGTCTATCGGCTTGGCGGGCGTGTTTGGACTCGCGGGAGCCTTGGCGGCTGGCTTCAGCTTTGCTAGCTTTGGGTGCTTCGAGCAAAGCACCACTGGCATGAGGGCGGTGGTATGTATGGGTATCGGTGGCATCCTTTGGTGCATGGTGTGGTCAGTCGGTGTCGTGATTTGGGGGGGGGTGGATGGAGTAGTCTATGTCGGTATCATGTGGGGCGTCAGTTTCCTACTGGCGGCCAACACCACCGGTTGTATCTTGTACGACAAGGGTCGACCGAAGTAAGGCATTTTAGGGTTGGCATGTCTTCATCTCAAAGCAACTTAGAGGGGAGGCGCGTGGGCCTGGTGTAATACTTATCCGTTGTGCACAGCATTGGCACTATGGGAATAGGTACATATTTAGAACATCCAGAATTGTGTGCCCTTGCATTTTCCTCGCAATTGTATTCGTCAGCAAATATCGATCTGTATTCGCTCAGCCACCGAGATACAAATAGACCAGTCGCTGAAGCCCTATTCTGCGCTTGGCCAAGCGCCAGAGTAGGAAATCACGTAGGCTTCCGATAATAGTATCGCATCTGGAATACGTGTGGCCCAAATGATAAGCATGGTGTTGCATTCATCTCTGCCTGTAACTTTTATCTCTGCTTCCCAGTACTGTATTCCGAACACATCGGTGTGGATGACGATGTGTTGAATTTGTGCTTGGATGAGCACAGGCGAACTTGTGTCCTGAAGATGACACGGATAATCCAAGACTCGTTGCGTTGTGTGACCCAGGCTGGCGCGTAGAAACTACATCGAAAGGTGTAGATCTGATATTCAGAGCGAATGTAATGGGATTACAGTACAACACACGAAAATGCACCCATTCGCTTCCATTGGCCAACGGTTAGCGAGTCGATACCAATGAATGAGCCACCACCGGCGAGATAGAACACGATCGCCTCACGTCCGTTCACGAACAATTCGATAGAACACGATCGCCTCATGTCCGCTCACGAATCTTTCGAGTGCCGAATGCGAAAGCAGTACAATGCCGTGATGGTGACTGACTGATTGCGAGCCCCATTCTCGCTCCTCCTGCCCGCAAACAAGGTCCTTCATCGAACCACACAAACTATAGTCGCCATCAATGCCCATCCACAGCTCGCACGCCTCAAGATGCAGAACGTGGCGCCACAACTCACACGGTCCTTGTCGAGGCGAACCCCTCGACGTTTCACGATTATTACCCACGGAACGTTGCTCGAGCTGCAAGCACAAAGTTGCAGCAAACTATTGTAACAACGCTGTTAGTCAGAACACAACGCGACGGGATCAAGCACCCATCTTCTCCGTTGTTTTCGCGGGTCTCTCGCTGCCAGAAACACATACCACCCCCTGAGGTGCCTTCTGCCCAACAGCGATTTCCGAGCTTACGGGAAACAACAACAAAAACGCCTCTCACCCTCACCGTTGCAGCCCCAACAGTTCTACCTCCCGTCACCTAGGCACTCAAAAAATGGAGTGGGAGGGGTGCCCGCATCCCGCAGGGGGGGTCGTACAGGCATCTTGGGGCGGTTGCGGCGGGGCAGGTGGGGCGCAACCGTCCCTTCCCTGGCCAACGCAGCCCCCCCAGGAAATATCGGAGTTGCTGTACGGCATCACGCCCTCCATCCGCGTCAACTCGTTGCCCTCCTTGAAGAGGACCACGGTTGGCAGCCCGTTTACGCCGACCTTGCTCATCAGATTGGGGTACACACTTGTCTGCGTCGATCTGAGTTGAATACGACGAATGGAACGGGGCCACAGATGGGAGGAAGGTCGAGACATGTTCACGCGCGGCCTTACTTCTCCATGTCAAAGGTGACGTTCGTTGTGTACCTCCAATACAGAAGACAGCAAACCATGTACAATTGATTTTGCCGTGAGAAATCACGGAACTCCCCAAGTATTCAAGAACGCACGTATTTCTCCCACAGTCGTCCTGTTGGACTCCCCGCGGCTCCTTCTTCCCCATATATGTTCCCTACTGAAGATAGCGCCTCCAGGCAGCCGTTCCTAGGAAACCCCTCCCCCTTTTTCCCGTCGTTCAAGTCAAACCCGCCCAGTCTTCCACGTGGTGTTTGATGGCGACTCTTGCATCCTTACGAACACCGTCGGCTGATGTGTCGATGTTGGATAGATCAGCTCCTGTAGCTAAAGTGAGGAAGGCGACGCATGAATGGTTCTCGCGCACAATTTGGAAGGAGTTTGCTGCCCACCACGCCTCAAAGCTAGCAGCATAGATTCAATGTCTGTGTTCCCACTTGCGGTCGTGTCATCGCCAAAGCATCCGTCACGTGTCAGCACAACTAGCCGCGACATATATTTCTCAGCACAATAACCCTGTCGAGCAATCTATGTCGACCAGGGATAGATAAATTTCCATAAAACTCTCCAATCGGCTGTACATGTTTCCTAAAACCGCGCAGAAGGCATGCCTCAGCCCTGTTAGACGGCAGGAGCACCGAACTTGACAAAGCGGGCATTGATGTTGTTCAGAAACGCATCACGACGCGGGAAGCAGTAACCTCCGTCGGCACCCAACCGGTGCAGTGATGGTTGGCACAATGCACAATCAACACACCACCGAAGAAAATAGTAACAGAAAAGCTGCAGTTAGTTTGTCACCTGTTCTATGTTGCCCTGCCGTGGTTGATAACGTGGCGCGCGGTCATTTCAGTCTATCCGCTTGAACCGTCTGGTACTGCCAGGGACCATAATCACTACTTGTTCACAGTGTGAGGCACCTCATGAGCCCCACGAGACCTTGTGAGACCTCATGACACCTCTTGGAACCTTATGATGGTTAATGAATCCTGCGGAGACCTGAGCGTGCCTCATAATACTTCATTAGACCTCATGGAGTCTCATGACTGCTTAGATCTCGTGGTACCTCTTGAAATCTCGTGATGTTCCATGACACCTTATGATACCGATAATGACACCACAGAATACAGTACCTACGGAGATCTCATGGCATCTCACGAGACCTCATGATGGTCCTTGAAATCTTAACGTACCTCATGGCAGCTCACAAGGCCTCAAGGCCTCAAATGACCTCATGGTACCTCATGACACTTTATGAGACCTCACCTCATGAGATCTCATTATAGCTCACGAAACCTCATGAGACCTCATGAAACCTCATGAGACCAGATGATGCACTCATGATACCTCATGTGACCTCATGATGCCTCATGAAACATCATGAGACCTCATGAGACCTGCGGGCCTGTGGATTCTCTCACCGATGTACTGCAGATACATACCCAAGGGGGCATTGCGAATTCAAGGTTTCAACTGTGTACATTAAGGAATCAAGGACGCCAGCAGGAGGATACCCTTTGGGGTCAGGCTCGGGAGGATCTAGAGAAGGGTGCAGCTCAGAGTAGGATAGTTCTGAGCTATGAGGTTGAGCTGCAAGCCCAAGCTTCAGATGTCGACCCCCAAATGCATGTTGTTGTTGTTGTTGTCTTCACATTAAAAACCATCCCGGTCTCTCTTTCCAGTACCTCCTTCTGTCTCAATCTCTCCGTACTAATCCATCACTTGACTCGGCCAATTTCCGTGGTCACAGGCTAACGTACCTAGAAAAGGTATACCAAAATAAAATGGACCCCAAGGGTCAGCAGAGCGATAAAATACAAGAAAACAAAATATAATCAGAAACAAATAAAATAAAAT